TTTATCCCCAACACAACTGACCAATCAGAATCATGTATTGCAGCCGTTTGTATAATAAATACACACACACACACACACACACACACACACACACACACACACGCACACGCACACGCACACACACACACACACACACACACACACACACGCACACACACACACACACACACACACACACACACACTGTTTTACCCAGTTTGACAAGGAACTCTCTCTCCAGCAGGCTGACGTGAGCGCAGGCCTCCTCCAGAGATGAGCAGAGCTTCATCTTGGGTCTCAGCATCTCCAGTGTGTCTGTGATCATGTACTCGATGTCAATAGGGAACGGCTGATCTTTAGTCCACACGTCCAGACTCTTCTTCCACCAGATGTACCTCTAAAACACACACACACACACACACACACACACACACACACACACACACACACACACACACACACACACAGGTTTTAAATACATTTAACATCATTAAAATATTTTAATATTATAAATATAATACTAAATTTTACTTTAATCCTTAAGATGCTTGGAATACATCTCGCTTCTCTTTTAAAGAGTAGGCGACACTCTAGGCTAGTTTTAAACAGCAGACGACACTCTAGGCTAGTGTTTAAAAGCAGACGGCGCTCTAGGCTAGTTTTTACCAGCAGATGGCGCTCTAGGATAAAAGCAGGAGGCATTTTAGGCTATTTTTAACAACAGATGGCGCTCTAGGCTAGTTTATAACAGCAGAAGGTGCTCTAAGCTGGATTAAACCCGCAGATGGCATTCTAGGCTGGTTTTTAACAGTGGATGGTGCTCTAGGTCATTGGTTCTCAAAGTGGGGGTCGGGACCCCCCGAGGGGTCGCGGGACAATGAAAGGGGGGTCGCCAGGTGATTTCCAAAAATCTATTTATTTTTATTAAACCATAAGAATTACCATTTTAATCCATAACCTACTAAAAAATTGTCGTTTACAGTTACTATATACACTACTGTATATAGTTACTATAGTAGCTTATAGTTACTAGTTCTATTGGATTGCGACCCCTCAGGTAATTACATTATATTAAAGACTCAGCAATAGCGTCAGATGCAGCAGATTGATTTTATAATACCAGGTTAAACTTTCTGGTCCATTTACAGCACTGACATACATTAAAAATATAACGAAGAATAGACTTGGGTTTATTGGTGTGTGTGCGCCCCATTGCATGCAAGGTTTCTGTATTTGTAACCACCTCAGAGGATATTGGGGGTCGCGAGTTACTGGCATTGTTATTTTTTGGGTCGCGAGCTGAAAAGTTTGGGAACCCCTGCTCTAGGCTAGTTTATTATAGCAGAGAAGCTCTAGGCTAGTTTTAACCAGCAGATGGCGCTCTAGGATAAAAGCAGAAGGCGCTCAAGGCTATTTTTTAACAGCAGACGGCACTCTAAGCTAGTTTTAACTGGCAGATGGTGCTCTAGGCTAGTTATAACCAGCGGATGGCACTCTAGGATGAAAGCAGAAGGCACTCTAGGCTATTTTTTACCAACAAATGGTGCTCTAGGCTAGTTTTTACCACCAGATGGTACCCTAGGATGAAAGCAGAAGACACTTTAGGCTCCTTTTTTAACAGCAGATGGCGCTCTAGGCTTGTTTTTAACAGTGGATGGTGCTCTAGGGTAGTTTATAATAGCAGAGAAGCTCTAGGCTAGTTTTAACCAGCAGATGGCGCTCTAGGATAAAAGCAGAAGGCACTTTAGTTTTCACCAGCAGATGGTGCTCTAGACTAGATTTTACAGTAGATGATGCTCTAGGCTAGTTATAACCAGCACATGGCACTCTAGGATAAAAGCAGAAGGCACTTTAGTTTTCACCAGCAGATGGTGCTCTAGACTAGATTTTACAGTAGATGATGGTCTAGGCTAGTTATAACCAGCAGATGGTGCTCTAGGATAAAAGCAGATGGCGCTCTAGACTAGTTTTTAAACCATTCACTTACTCACGAACTTGTCATGTACTATAAGTGGTCAAATGTACTTGCACCTCTACTTTTATGCCACAAGATTAATGTAAACACAACACACTATGAACAAGCCATTATTTTAGGTTCTAGTAATATGTGTAAGATCCTGATGGCAAGGAAAATAAGGCTGTTTGTAAAGCACACAGCGCCATCTGCTGATCAAAAGTTCAGAATCAATTCAAGGAGCAGTGGAAAATCTCTGAATCAATGCATCACTCTACGGGTGCCATAAATGCTCACCTGGAAGTAAATGAGGAAGCAGTCGAGCTTCTTCTTGCTGGAGCCGCGGTCGAAGTACTGTCCACAGGTATCCAGAAGTGTGCAGACCATGCGGATGCGAAACAGATGCTCCGGCGGATCCAGAGGACTGGCAGTACCGTCCGTGTTCACCCCGAACGAGATGAAGGAGAACAGAGTCCTGAAGATGACAGCAGACTCCACCATTCGATAGTTATACAGCTCACCCAGAAACTTAGCACTGCTGATCCGCCGCTGGTTAAACTTGGGCTGATTCACCTGTGAATAAACACACACGAGCACAACTTCTCATTTCAGATCATTACTGCATTTAAAACAAAACTTCTTGTATTTAAATGTTAGATTTTTAGACTTTGATTGTTTTAATCACATTGTTTTACTTTTCTACAAATGATGCGTTTGTTTTATTATTGTGCTTGATTTACTGACAAATGCAATTAAAAGCCTGTACCTCAACATTTAATGTCAATTAAAAAAAAAAAACATTAGTTGTAAGGCTGAACAATTAATGGTTTCAGCAATGATAGAAGAGTCTCCCGTATTTCAGACCGTTTTGTTATTTTTCCTGGAAAACTCCTGTAATTTCAGCCCCTAACCCCACGCTCCTCAGCTTTTAGGTACAGTCTTTAACACCCCCGGATCGCCGACTTTGGTATAGTATCCGATAGCAGTGGCTGCCCAAATCCTAGTGCATATACAGTTTCTCAGCTGTATTATTCAGATACCTCACCCCCGACACCTAGGCATCCCCCGCCCCCCATTTGTAACTTTAAAAAATGAATGATGATTAATTTTATTAAATCGTTTACACAACAAACACGATGCAATATAATATTACATTTGATAATATAATTACTGCATGCTAAATACAGTTAGACTTACCGAAACACAATAAAATGCTGTTTATTTAAATAATGTTGATTTCTTTATTAAGTTTATCTGTGCTTGTAAATGGTTTATGTTATTGTATGCATATGCACCCTATATAATTATCACAATCAATCTTAAATTTACAAACAGTTATTCAACAAATACAGTGAAATTGTATTCATAATCACAATATATACATATAAATAAATAAATAAAATCGCTAAATATCCCAATGTTAGATTTTTTCCAATATTGTGCAGCCCTAATAAGAAGCAAAAACCCCATTAAACATTAAAAAAGCTGTCATAAAAAAAAAATTTAATTACCTTCATACATTTTTTTTTACTTAAGGGTAACTTACTCTTTTTTTTTTTTTTTAAATGTGCATTGTATTCTTGTTAACTTTAAAAAAAGAGAGAAAATGTTTGTATCATTCCCTTTGTAGCAGTAATTATCTATTATTATATTATTATTATATTACTACATTATTATGTATTATTATTATTATTATATTATCTATTTTTATTAATTATGTATTATTATCATTATTAATAACAATACACAGAGAAATACATTATATTTTATGATAGTAATAAACCAATAATTCTCACAATTTCTTTAATTTAAGAACATTTTATTTTTATTTATTCATTTATTTTTATTCAGATAATTAAAATTTTGCATATAAATTTTTTTTAAATGTTTAAAAAAATGTGCACGCATATCAGTATATACAGTCTGAAATAATTCACACCCGTGGCAAATTATTATTTAACCAGCTCTTTTTTTTGCCTGGAAATGAGACAGACTGCTTGCAAAACATAACAAAACTATGTGACATTTAAAGGCTTAACTAGGCAAGTTCAGGTAATTAGGCAAGTCATTGTATAACAGTGGTTTATTCTGTAGACAATCCAAAACAAAAGGGGGGCTAATAATATTGATGTTTCTTAAATTAAAAACTGCTTTTATTCTAGCCAAAATAAAACAAATAAGACTTTCTCCAGAGGAAAAAATATTAGAGG